AGGGTCAAAGAGGGTCAGATCTTGGGGGCAGCTGACCCCCTCTTCCCACCACTAGATATTGTCAGTTTTTATGTTTTCATTATTTCTGGTATATCATCTATCTATTCTGAAAATTTCAGGACTGTACTCGAAATTTAATTATTTTTTTACCCATAAGGGTCAAAGAGGGTCAGATTTTGAGGGCAGCTGACCCCTCTTCCCACCACTAGATATTGTTAGTTTTTGTTTTTCTGTAAAACATTTGACATAATCTATGTTCACTATAATTATAAAAAGTGTAGGTCATGGTCAGTTTTTTTTACCCCTTGTGGGAAAAAGGGACAAATTTTGGGGGGCAACTGACCCCATCATTCCACAAGAATTTTTTGTCAGTTTTTATCCCATTACGATTCAGGTTGGTTGAGCCTCATATCACAGATATTTGAAATATGTAGCTTTTAGGGTAAAAATATTTTACCCCTTTGTCACAAAATGGAGTGATTTTGGAGGCCAGCTGACCCCCTTTTTCCACGAAGATATTTTGTCAGTTTTTGTGTTTTTTATCTTCTCATGAAATGTTTCTTATACTGTATTAATTTGGCATGTGTAGCTTTTGGGGTAAAATCGGCCCATGTTGGGTGACTTTTTAGGGGCAGCTGACCCCACACACCCCCCAAAATATTTTGTCAGTTCATATTGTTTTGAGTTTTGAATATATGTGTAGTAACATAACATTGTATTAACTATGTAGCTTGAATGTTAAAATAAACCTTTTTCAAGGGTTTTTTGACGTGCTAAAGGGGCCACACCCACTGGATCTGTACCAGCTGACGTACATTTTTTCAATGTCTGTCATAGTCCTAATTCATTGAAACCATCAAACCTTCTGGGTTTTTTGGGGTAAAATCACCCGTAGCTAGCTCTTGGACTATATGCATGTATATATTGAGATATATATGAGATCTCGGTCAAGTTCGAAATTGGTAATAATTGGATGATCAGTTTCAGAGTTATTGCCCTTGACTTCGTAAAAACGCGTCAAAATTGGCATAGAGACAACAGTCTATATTTGATCATCTGATCTTGATGAAACTTGTTATGCATGTATATATTGATGAGATCTCAGTCAAGTTCGAAATTGGTAATAATCGGATGAATGGTTTCAGAGTTATTGCCCTTGACTTAGGAAAACCGTCAAATTTGCCGTGTAGGCGCGATCGAGGCTACAGTTTTTATCCAATCTTCATGAAACTTGGTATGCATGTATGTACTGATGAGATATCGGTCAAGTTCGAAATTTGTAATAATCGGATGAACGGTTTCAGAGTTATTGCCCTTGACTTAATAAAAACGCGTCAAATTTGGCTTGTAGGCACAAGAGACTGCAGTTTTTATCTGATCTTGATGAAACTTGGTATGCATGTATATGCTTTCGATGAATGGTTTTTGAGTAATTGCCCTTGATTTAGGCAAAACGTGTCAATATTTGTTTGTGAACATAATAGAGACTACAGTTTTTAACTGAATTTAACGAAATTTGGTGTGATCATTTATATTGATGAGATCTTGGTCAAGTTTGAATTTGACGATCTTCCGATGAACGGTTTTTGAGTTATTGCCCTTGACTTAGTCAAAACGCGTTAAAATTTGTTTGTGAACACAATAGGGACTACAGTTTTCAAATGATTGTAATTAAATTTGGTGTGATCATTGATATTGATGAGATCTTGGTCAAGTTCGAATTTGACGATCTTTCGATGAACGGTTTTTGAGTTATTGCCCTTGACTTAGGAAAAACGCGTCAAAATTTGTTTGTGAACACATTAGAGACTACAGTTTTCAATTGATTTTAATGAAACATGGTGTGATCATATATATTGATGCGATAATTTGATGTATTTGGGTTATTGATAATGATTTTTAAAAATTTTGTGGAATTTCTTAGCATACATAACTGTCAGTTAATATATATATCATTGAATTCAAAGTATTAAAATTTCTTTAATATGAGAAAATTCATACTTTAGTCACTAAAGACTGTTTTATCATTTCTGACAGCTTTCAGTGGGGATATGTTACCTTGCCTGGCAAGCTATCTTTTATCTTCTTAGAATAAAATCAGTATCGGTCAATTTTATCATTACTGTGATAAATGTTTCCATGGCAACCAATATATTGCTCTCACGTAGACAATCACGAACGGTGGCTTATAATACTTTATTTAGATGAAACACCCACAGAATTAATTCAACTTATCGGAATGAACTATAATGAAATCACAGGAGCTGTGTCAAATAGTTCAATGTTGTTGAATTTTTCTCAGATCAGCCAAAGATGACTTTGTAACATTAGTCTTCCGACTGATATAAAGGCCTACTTGGAAGTGAAGCAAATTCCAACAGCATTTACCTAACATTAGTTCTTCCAAATCTATTGAATTTTTCTTATAGAGGAAATGCTGTCCAACAACATGGTTCAACCTCTCAAAATTGCCTTTGTGTATTAAACAATATACTGATAATTAGTTAAAATCTGGGTTAGCATTCACAATATAATAGGTCCATTACAGTTTTATTTTAAGCTCAAGTTATTATGACGCAAGTGTTGCTATGGAAATAAACGGGTTTCTTTACACTATTTATCAAATGAGCGTGTGGTTTATTGAAATATTTTTATGTGACCTAAATTGCGTGTTATCTATAACTAACAGTAACAACCTGGCTTTCTGAAATTAGTTTATTTACATAACGACTATATTATATCCATGTAGTGTTAGACAATCTGTACAAAGGTATTCTATGCCGTATAATTCGTATACAATGTGATAGTTTATGGCTGAAGTAACTTCGCTCACCAATACAGTCCTAATGTCTATGTATAGTTTCATATAATAATGTATTTTTTTTAATAATAGCCTTCAAATTAGTAGTAGTCATAACAACATGTTGGCCAAATGTAATTCTTAAATTCATGTCAGCAAACTTCTAGAAAACTGAAAACCAATATGGTACACGAAGGGCTGGTAATTCTAGATATATTTGATTGATAGGTTGCGTGTTGATAGGTTTGTGTTTAAGAGGGATAGAAATCGATTTGGTAGTCAGCTGAAGGTTTGGTGTAATCAAAGATTGATGAGATATTTCAAGGGAATATTTTCAGACGAATACATTGCAAAAATCAATAATCCTCTATTATTGTTCAGCTATAGTCATCCTTTATTGAGCTGTATAATCATCAAGTTCTATCTATATTCACCACAATCATATAGACGACAAATCTTACTGCTTCTATCATTGATTTATCACAAAACACAACAACTAACATTGTTGTCATCTCCAACATTATATAATTATTAGACTGACATTTCTGTACAATTTATCAATTGCAACTCCATGTAGAACACAATGTATTATAATAAGCCAAGACTGCCATATTCACAACCTTGTGACAAGTATCTTCTATATAGCAAGTCCCTTGATATTTGTTAACATAATTTTAATATAATTGATGTGTTCTAATATAACCAATAATATAACCAACTGATATAACCAACTATAAAGCACAGTACAGCTCACACTCTGAATGAACGTGTGTTGACCACCTGTGGTCATTATCTTTTCACTTTATTTCAGGGGCTTGTACATTTCCTGGTTTAAGAAAATTTATAATCGATAAATGTTCAACAAGATTATTATGTTTTCTCCACATTGCTACCCATGGTTTGGCAGCTGCTGGCTGTTCTGGTGATGGTATAAATATTTTCTTCTGTACACTTCCTTGTATTTAATACACTGGCACTGAATCAACTCATTTATCTAAAACCCTGCTATAACTATATCTTGATTTAAATGGATGAAGTTATATACTTCCACTTTACTAACCTCCATGCCGTAGTTCTCTGCGCAGAAAACCATAGCTTAACCTACCGCATCTTAATCCACAATGGTCAATGTACTGTATGCCTTGTTCTTGTAACTTACGATCAGCAATTTAATTGAATTGTACCTCGATTTGATGCGTAATTATTTTCTTCGAACTGTTGAGGCCTGTGATTGGCTGTATTCAATAGCGTACAATTCAATCAGCTGCATTCACAAATTTCCGTGATACAAGTATGGTGGTTATTGCAGTCAAGGTGTAAGATGAAGGAGCAATACCATGACCATTGTTATACGCCCGCGTGAAATAGGGGGGGGGGGGGGGGGCGTATATTGTCGTCACCCATGTCCGTCCGTTCGTCCGTCCGTCCGTCCGTCCGTCCTTCCACAATTGCTCGTTAACACGGATTAACCATATTTAAAATCAGAAAGATCGAAAAATAATTAGTATAAGTTATTGCCCTTGTTCTTAAAAACACGTTTTAGCCTGTAAACACTCTAGAAGGCCCACTTCTTGACAGAATTTGATGAAACTTGGTAATATTAGTCAGTATCGCCCCAAAAAGTTAAAACGATGTGCATGTCAGAAGGTTGACTATTTCATACTGGTAATTGTTACTATACTGCCAAACATTTTAATTTAAATCAAAGCTGCCAGTGGGCGTATATTACCTTGCCTGGCAAGCTATCTTGAAGATCAACTAAACCATAACCCAACACAAAATGTTACGAAAAGTATCGTGTTGTAACTCTGTAGCCTTATATCTGATTGAAATGGTAGTTAAAGATGAGAATGTCAACATTCGACATTCACAGAAATAATTTCGATGAGATAAGGAAGATCAATATTTCTGCACTCGTATATCAAACATAGGCCTATAGGATTTAAATTATCTACCTTCAATATTGATAAACAGAACAAACAACGCTTCCCTTCGCCTTTATCTCATACAAATTGAAACCAACTTTTAAAACGCAAGTTTCATGAATATTCAACCAAACGAAACGCCAGCGCCATTTTGTAACTCAACATTGTCGTACATAGTGTACATAATTATATCGTGGGACAATATGAGAAATATACTACCATGCAATAGCAGCCCAGCCCTTTGGCCTTTATTAAGTGAATCCTGGTTATGTTATCTTGGACATTCCAGGAAACGGGGGAGAATGTGATCACCTAAATCAAGTGAACGAGATGAAATGCTCAACAACTATTGAAGAAAACAGGGACGTAATTGTTGGAGTAAAGGTCAGATTAAGTACGGGTGTGACTGGTAACGGTAGATTGGAAAAAGAAGTGTATAGGTATGAACGAGTTATCTCCCATATACAAATACATCATGTTGTTCACCCCTCCATCTAATATCTAAAATATCACATCAAAAACATTTTTTCTCCTTGAGGAAACGCAAACAGTCCAATACGTCAAAATCTATCACTTCGCCTGAAGTTCTTCTAAAAAATATACTGAAGAAATATTCAACAGGGATATGTGGATATGAAACCTTGTCTTAGTTAGTCACCAACAAAGAAAACAAACTGTTATTCCAGTCGGGTTGGATTTATCATTCCCATTTGATTTTTTAGGAGAGCAATAACATCAGCTTCAAAATGTAACGTGCCTCTAATGGTTCACCATATACTTAGTACCATCCCAGTACAATCAACTGAAGGTATATATTCTGATGATATAAAGTTCTCTCTTGTACGGTGGCTCACATACAACATTTTCCACTTTCTATTTTGAATTAAAAACTTTAATTTTCACCCAGGTGATAATTATTTTCACCTAGGTGAAAATTAGGTGATAATTCCGGTAATTTTGAATTAAAAACTTTAATTTTCACCTAGGTGAAAATTATTTTCACCTAGGTGAAAATAATTATCACCTAGGTGAAAATTAAAGTTTTTTTTAATAATTATCACCTAGGTGAAAATTAAAGTTTTTAATTTAAAATTAAAAGTGAAATATGTCGTATGTGAGCCACCGTACTCTTGGGATAAATTGTAATTTATTGAAACTAGAGGGGACAACTGCTAGATTTCTGTTAAAATGTGCAGAACATAATCTCTATAAGACAAGAAAGATTTTATGTATACTAAATGAGTAATTAGTATTCGTTTCACTCAGGCCAACAAACAAAAAGTCTTATCATATTTCAGACTACTCTGATCTCAGCTGTCCAGGCAACCTTTCCAAAGGTGATATTTACACACATTCTTTTCATGGACATAATACAACCATTATCGATGATAGTTTAAAGAAAGTTCATCCAAATGTACTTAAAGCCAGAGGCGGGGGTGTTCTCTTTGATGTTGGTCATGGACAAGGATCTTTCTCCTGGGAAAGAGCAAGGGTTTCCATGGAATCAAACTTTTTACCAGATACAATTAGTACTGACTTACATACAGGTAATATCCATGGACCAGTACATGATCTACTATTAGTAATGAGTCGATTCCTTCATCTTGGGATGCCTCTGAAGAAGGTCATAGGTGCTGTAACATCTAAAGCAGCAGAAGCAATACGAAAAGTTGAGAGTTTAGGATCTTTAGAGATAGGAAGGGAAGCAGATATCACTATATTAAAACTTATAGATTGTGATATCTGGCTTGAAGATTGTCATGGAAAGGCAGAAAACTTGAAACAAATTTTGATTCCAGTAGCTGTTTGGAAAGGTGGTAAGAAATATGAAATTAAGGATTTGGAGAACTATCCAGTTAGTGCAAGTTAACAAGCATGTTGAGCTACATCATAATAACTACTTGGACTTATCAGTTTTCGTGTAATTTAAAGATATTAAATACTATACTCGTACCTTTACATAGCATCCTTCTTGTAGCAAAAATCACAGTCCACATACATTCCATAAAATTTTAATTTGAATAAAAAATAATGTTTTTAAAGATAAGGTACACTGAAGATAAGATAATAAATTTAGCAGTTGCTTTATGTTTGTAAAGTTCTTTTTTATTTACGATAATTATGTTTAAATATATTGAATACATTGATAAAAAAAAAATAGCGATGGCCCATGGTAATACGGCACAAGCTTTATTCAATACTTTTTTTTTTTTTTGATTTTTAACAAGTTTCATCAAATTACCTCCCACCACATAACAAGAGATGAGTCAAATCACAAAATGGTGGGATGCAATTTGATTATTGATAATTATACCTCAGAAGATTTCTTCCCCTGATGAAGTCAAAACTTTTTTATGAAACATTGGGTAGGCCTATTAAAGTATGGTATTTGATATCAAGTTTAATTATTTATTACACATTAATGTGTGGGAGTATAACAATATTAATATCATTTCAAAGTATCAGTATTGGTTGGGATGAATGGATTGTAAAAAGAGATATATACCATTCTCTGAAATATGTCCAATGATCCAATTTTCAATTTACAAATCAGATTGTTCAATAAATAATATTTAGCAGGTTATGTTCTTCTTTCAGACATTAATTCAACAAAAACTAACTAAAATTGTCAGAATTTGGGTCAATTAGAGCGAGTCACTTCTGAGTCAGTTGATTTTGTAGAGCTTGTTGAATCCTTTCCTTGTTTTTGTTTGGTCTTCATCCCTTCTTCAAAATCAAAGTCGTAATAATCCCATACTGGAGTTTCAGGACGTGATGAAACTGCTGCAGGGGATGCCANCTTTTAAACCAGATAAGGTTTCTTCAAGTTCATGATCACTGTCATCAATAACTAAATCTATAGGCACACGTAATTTAGTTTTCCCATTATTGCCCTCTAAATGTTCAGTGTGTTTCTGAGAGGTTTGGATACCATTTGTCACCATGTCACTTATTTCAAGGTCATCCAAATTGACCTTTATGAGTTTCTTGTCCTTATCAATTTCTAGATTTGATTCATTTTTTGTATTAATATCTAATTTTTCTGACTCCTCCTTTGATTTTTTAATGTTTTCAAAAGTATTTGAACGAGATTTGTTATCATTACTCATATTACCATTTTCAACCTTGACCTCATTATCATTTCTGTCACGCTTTTTACGAATATTTATATGAACAGGTTTAATTAAGTTCTCATCAGGCACCATGACTTCTTCAAATTCAGCAGGGGCCATGTGACCATTTAATTCTTTTAATGATGGTGAAGTGTAGAAAAGGTCACCATTTCCTTCAAGGTCAAGGTCAGTGGCACTATAAACTCTCATATTATTGGGAGTGGTATAGTTAAGGCAGGGAATAAGAGGTATTTTTTCACGGACAATTTTTTTCACAGCTTTTTTAAGAGGTATATTTATCATTCCTATCATAAAAGATTTCCGACTGGATTTCTGTATCATACACACTTCAATTTGAATTCCTTTTTCACGCACCACATCAACATTGATATTGGAATATTCAAGAGGTGTTAAAAACTTAAAATTCGATGGGGTAAAAACATGTTGTATGCCAGTTAAAGGTTTCTGTTCATGTGCCTTGACATTAATGTGTGCATCCAAATTTTCAACTCTAACTTCCTCAGTATGCTGAATAGATGACTTAGAATTGGATGGTGTCAAAAAACTTCTTACATATACTGACTGGATCATGGAAATTTGTGCTGAAATAAGCAAAATTTAAAGCATGATCATTCATAATTTGGAAATAAAAGGTGCTCCTCTATATAATTGATGAGTTCTCAGTAATTGAATTTCTTCAAAAATAATACTGTAGTCTACATGAATGATAAGGCCAGGCTTTTTATATATGCCACAATAGTAAACTTGGACAAGTAAATCATGTTCCTATCAGACCTATATGACCAGGCAAGAACTGTCTAATTCTACTTACGTGGAGGTAGAAGGATGTCACTCAGCTGCCATATTCTAATTTTTAAACAACTTTTGTGGATGTGATATTCAAATGACATATGAACATGACCCATTTTGGTATCTGGAATATAAACGTCTTAGCTGCAAAAACACCTGTTTATACATTTTTCAGACAGCCTCCTTGAAGGTTGTGCTAGGTCTCTGCAACATATTCAGCTTTACGGAAACTGCATAGGATTGCCAAATGACTAGATATATGATTTCTAGAATTTCTGAATTTCAGTATGAATTTCTACTAGAACAAAGGCATGTAAAGTCTCCAAACTCATTCATACATTCTCAAACTTTTGTGTATCTACCTTAAAATATTACTTTAGTATTGATAAAGTCATGGATGGGATGATAATATACATTATAAATGTCCATGTTGGTTTAAAAAGACTTTATAAAGTTAATCCATCATCTATAAGACACTAAACTTGCTAAACATTAAAACTGCTTGTGGCTGTATGTTTTACATTAGTTTCTGTTGGAATAAAGATTGAAAACTGTCACTTGAACACATAGGACAACATATCCTTACACTAGAGTCTTTGTGCAGTCACATAATAAACTAATATTTGGGAGAAGGAGAATGTATTAATCTACATAATATGTATATCATTGTGAACAAAGTCTGCCCCCATAAACACTTCCCTTAATCAACTCCCTATAATATTCTAGTTAAATCTATAAGCCTTAAATATTTTTAGAACTAATGACTAATTCTAAAGATTAACACTCCAAAATCTACAGATATATAGCCCTTGAACAATTTATAACACCATATGAATTGATAGTCTTAACTTCACTGTTGGATTTACAATAAATTAAAGCCATTCAAAGAAAGTCAAAACTTATGATCTATGAATTATTTGAGCATTTAATAAATAGTTACATCCAACTGAGCCAATAGGGATATGTAAATTTGGTTTGTTCACCATAAATTAACCTTAGGGTTTAAAGGTTCAACTGAACCAGATTAATGAAGATTATCACTAATTATAAGGTGTGTAAGATCAATCAGTAATCTCTAAGATCAGCTCAATAAATGAGCTATACAATATTTGTAATTGCGAAAATTGAAATAACACTAACATCCTTGGTAATGCTCTATGCTATTGGTTGAAGAATGAAATTGAAAACCAAAAAAAAGACAGAATGCATATTATGCTGCTATTTGTACAAATTTCTGACAATATTATTTGAAGTTCCTAAAGTGGTTTATTTTGGAAAAGTTCAAATAGCTCCCTACTGCTCCTAAATCACTTAAAAAACAAGAGGAAATGGTCAAATAGTTTTTTATATGATGTCTAGTATTTAAAAGTTTTTGTAACAGTAACGATAAAGAACCTCAGTACAATCTATCTATCACGTACATGACTATTTATCTTAGTATACCTTCTTAATTAAACATTTTACCCGTAAGAGTTTTTTTAAAGCTGACCTCCTGTTTTAAGTGGTTGAAAGATAGAAATCCTTTTACCTAGTTTAGCAACATTCTTTCTTTTTTCATCACTCAGTCAATACAAATCTGAAAAATTAAATATTGACAAAGTAAGAGATACACTTACTTTCTTATTACTAGTATCTAAAATAAACTTCATGTAATCTAGCAATTACTGGAGTCTATATATGTCTGTGTAAGGGCCTTCCCTTCATCTAAAAATTCAATTCGTAAATGTAACTGGCCAAAAATTTATATTAATATTATACTGGCACGAATAAAAGTTTAAACCAACTATTGAAACTTAAAAACATCTTACAAGATAGGAATCCAAAGTATTTTGCTGGACAAAAATATGTCTTGTCATAAAATTGTTTAACCACTGCCTAAAAAACACTTTGAATTAAAAAAAAATACTATGCAAGTAATTTGAAACCATCATTCATTAACATTTTTTTCAGAATAATTTAGCTTTGTTTTCCTAATCTGTTAACCTAAAATGAACATTCTATCACTCTTTGGGCATCCCCTACATGTATCAACTTATAAACACTAACAATATTATAGATGACACAGACATTCAAGGCTTTCAAACAGGTGGCACACATTGGAGTCAATTTTTTATGTAAAGTAAATTAAGGAAGTAACAAGTATTTATTATAATGCATTTCAGTAGATTACAAGCATCTGAGAAAAACTCCATGCCTAGAATTAGTTGATACACCGTCTGACTAAGAGTTTTTATCAGAGTTATAATATCCAAATAGAATGAAAAGTTTGAAATAATTCAATTTTGTTTTTCTGGCACTCACTTGCAAGGTCTTAAATAGATAAGAATCGTTTCGAGAATACGTTGCCTGATGCATATGATCAACTTCGAAGATTTTATTTATAGCCTATATATGCATCAAAATGTAAATATAAAGCTGACTCCAGAAGATATATTTGTCTCTCCATGCTTTTTTTGGAATTACACAAAAACTAATAAACTTAATAATTTCATAAAAAACAATGATAAATAAAAGTAACCAACCTGGCCGTATCAACAAATATTGATACAAATGATCAGATTTTATCTCATATATGTAACAAAATCTGATATGCCTTTCACACGTTATATTTAGATGTTTTGTATTGATGAAAATAATTCAGGTAGAAAATAGATCAGTGATAATCTATATTAGATGTAGGTCATTGCTAATATTACTTGTTTAAACATAACTTAAATCCCTAAAGCATTTAAATTTTTAAATTAGAACAGATATAAAGGTTAATTGCCTATCATATTCACTAAAATAATACTCTGAATGGCCATTTAATATTTGTCACCCAAAAAAAATATCTCTATCTCTCTCCCAATATTTCTATAGATAAATAAAAAAACATGTTTTAGTTTTAAAAAACCTTGGTGTAATATTAATAATAAAATGGGACAGTTTATTTTAGCCATCTTACACTTTTTTTTTTGCCTCTCCTTAAAATTCAACTTAAAAATGTACATTATGCATATTTTATTCCAACAGTAACATTCACTAAATTTTGGGAATAAATCTAAAGTGCCGAATTAATAATGTTCCTACTTTTCATCATAGAGAAAAAAGTTTTTTAAACTCACTGTCCTGATTAGGGATAGAACTTCCTACCTACATTCAAATATGAAGATCACACAAATATACTGACATACAAAATCACACATGTTTTTAAAATAAGAAAAGAGATTAATAAACATGTCATTAAATCACATCATTCATTTAAATCAAGGTCTGTAATTAGAAATATAACAATAGAGGTGTATTTCAAACAATTTTTACCTGATTTAAAATAAGGTTTTGTCGTTTAAACAATGCAGGTGTATATCATATATCCTATCCTATATATCTCTTAACCAACAATCTATAAAGCTTGAAATGTCAACCCATTGTCAACAATATACCTGGCCTCCACAGACTATATAAATAGGCCACGACAAATAATTCAACAGTTTCAGGTGTAAAGGGGAATATAAATCAGAGTCTTCAACATTTCAAAAAGCAATGCTATTGATTTCACCAATATAACCCGAACAAGGTTCATTAATTTTCAAAAGGAAATTATTTTTTCTCCAAACTGTATAATATTTAGACTTCAGTAGGTAAATGGAATGAAATAGTAAATATTTGAAATTCAAATTATACACCATCATATTCAACAATCCTAGACATTGATATAGATATAATCTAGGTTAATTTGCATTAAAGTTGCCATTGTTGATAGCTGTCATAAAACAAACGATCTTTTCTTTTAGCCTGACAAGAGGTTACATAGTTTTAGAAATTGTAATATATTTAAAGGTTTCCCAAAGATCTCTCATACTGCCCCACACAAAAGAAATATAAAAAGTCAGTAAATATCTATATCTCAAATTCTAAAAGGTATCAATCTTGGAGTTGGGATTATTATTATGTTCTGTGTATAACAGAAATGTAGTTTGTAGAGAACAAATAATTCAAATTAACATTATTTTCACTCGGGAAATTGGGACTCATCTAATTAATATTGAATGATTCACATTCAAAGAAAATAATAAACATACAAAAGATAGCTTGCCAGGCAAGGTAACATACGCCCACTGGCAGCTTTCAGAAATGATTAAACAGTCTTTAGTGACTACAGGGTTGCACAATATAGCTAATAGAGTGAAACGTCAAGTCAGACACGATATTTCGGTGAAATATTATCCGATCATCGTGAAAATCGATAGGGATCATCTTCATAATGACATTGACATAAAAAATAAAAATCAAAAGAATCTGTAAACAATTGTAGCCTGTAGAGTGAGCATGAGTTGCACAATATAGCTAATAGAGTAAAACGTCAGGTCAGACACGATATTTCGGTGAAAAATTATCCAATCATCATGAAAATCGATAGATCATCATGAAAATCAATAGGGATCATCTTCATAACGACATAGACATACAAAATAAAAATCAAAAGAATCTGTAAAGAATTGTAGCCTGTAGAGTGAGCACGAGTTGCACAATATAGCTAATAGAGTAAAACGTCAAGTCAGACACGATATTTCGGTGAAAAATTATCCGATCATCACGAAAAATCAATAGGGATCATCTTCATAACAACATTGACATACAAAATAAAAATCAAAAGAATCTGTAAAAAATTGTAGCCTGTAGAGTGAGCACGAGTTGCACAATATAGCTAATAGAGAAAAACGTCAAGTCAGACACGATATTTCGGTGAAAAATTATCCGATCATCACGAAAATCAATAGGGATCATCTTCATAACAACATTGACATACAAAATAAAAGTCAAAAGAATCCATAAAGAACTGTAGCCTGTAGAGTGAGCACGAGCCAAATGTGAACGGACGGACGGACCGACGGGGGTGATTACAATATACGCCCATCTTACGTGTGGGCGTATAAAAAATCATATAAACCAATAACATGTATAATCAAAACATATAATACAAATTCAGTTTTCAGTCCATATATTGATGATGCTCTCAGCCTCGTAACCAGTAATGAATTGGGGATCAGATTTTGTACTCAGAAACTTTGAAGAATTAAAGGCCCAGAGAACTCATTTCTGACCATTTTGAGGTGCTACAAACATATCAAAATCTATATCCTTTTTATTTTGTACAAAGACATTGTAAATGAATCAATCTCTGCTGAACTGAAGAATGTTTTGCTGGGGCTTAATTCTAACTTACTGGGACCCAGCCCCCATGTACCCCACCCTAACGACAGGGCTGGATGCTTTATCAGAATAAATAGCACATTCTGCCTTATACAATCCACAATAGATGAGTGGTTATATCAGAGTCAAGTTTGCACATGTATGCCGACTATGCCCATGTATGTAATGCGAGAAAAATGTGAAAATGCATAGACAACTTTGTGTAATCAGACACTATATTTGGGAAAAAAACCTCTCATATATACAATAAGTAAAGAAGTAACCTAAGTGAATAAACAAGGAGTGGTGAATAAACCTTACATTATACTTTCAGTGAGAAATAAATACCTATTCAATTATAAAACTGAAAAATAGTCTTTAGTGTGACCTGAATACACTTGTATTTTGGTGACCCCCAACTTCTGTTTGCAAATCTTTTTGATATGCATGTAAACAGGAAATTTAGACAATTTATTAAAAATATCAAAAGTTGTTAAGCCTGCAGCTGGGGTTTGTTAAGTAGGGGCATATTTTTACATGCCCCCCCCCCCCCTCCCCCCCTCCCCCCTAGTTTCTAACTTTATGTATAGTGTCCCCCCACTGAAAAATAGTCAATAATGAAAATTCAATTCATTCATACAATTGCCCTGGACGTCATATTCACTTCATTCATTCAATTGACCACCATAGTTCATATATATATAAATAAAATAATAGATAATCGTGATATACATCGAAAAAGGAAATTGCCCACCGATAATCATAATCTCTGGCATTATCTGGGTATCGATATATTGCACATTGGAGGTAGCTCCAAGAAAGATCAAGAGATAATAGTAGGCCTATTTCATGTTGTCCAAATAGTTTGAACGATTATTGCATTGTTCAGAGTCAGGGTAGAATAACTTATGTTTATTCCTTTCAATGTCGTTTCCATCTTGAAAAAAACAGTTCCCTAGTCCTACAAACTGACCCAAAACTATATGTGGGATAGTTCTGTGTTCACTGGTTATGCCCCTTACAAGTATGATAGGCTAAGGCACCTGTCATGGAATGCGCAAGATTAGTCATATTAATTTCACCCGTAGAAAAATTCCTACAAACATTTAGAAAAACAGATAAGTAATATTTAGTTATGATTAAACATAGTGTTATGTATTAGTACCTAATAATACATTGTTGTAATTTGTTACTATAGACGCTTTAATATCTATACATGGTCCAGTACTTCCGCTCACCAGTGATTAGGAATTCTGGGATGCCAATGGTGGCTAAATGTAATTTTAACAAAATTCTGCAAGCCTAAAGGCATTTTTACTAAATTAACACTTCTTGGCATTGAATTTTATTCATTTGAATCTTTGTAACAAATACAGAAAATACTAATGATTAAGTATATTGGTATGGGATTACGAGGTTTCTTTGTTTTAGCAGCAAAAATATGGAGTTTCATCTGTTACTGCGTTCGTCGACAGGCGCGTGCGGTGAGTAATTTTGCCAAGAAAGAAGCCATTTGTTGCATGCATTTTCTTATGACCTTTCTTGTGTCTTTGAAATATCCAATGACAAGTAATATCTTATTTTATTAACATGGCCGTGCAAAATATGACATCCTCGTCCTTTTTAACAACGTCTGTCAAGACGAACATTGAGGGAGACCTACTTCCTGTCATAAGTAGCGTAGACGTCGCTTGTAAGATAGAGTTTAAATGGGTTAAGCACATACATACACGTTATTATTTCTAAAACAAGAAAAATGGTAAAATTTTGAAACATCTAATGCATCGATAAAAACATTGTATACCTAATTTCCTATAAAAAATGCTACATACAATATGTTGGCGAAACTCAAAACTTGTTGCATCGATTCATTTCAATTTAATATGTTAAATAACAATTTATACCAGGAAACTTTTATCACACTAGACCATATTCTCTGAAATCTGAATTTTTTTTTTCTTAAGTATTGTATTAAATCCCAATAAAACATTGTTTGGTTTTGGTGACAAAAGAACCTTATACCGCAATGTATTAATCGTAGACTGGAAGAGAACAAATTTGAGTAAGTGCAGTTACTATGCTATGAATTACGAAAGATTTTAAGGACATTTAGTGACATGTTAGTTTTAATTTGATATAGTGGATTTATTGTTATTTTCACTAATGTTGATTATACTGTCATTTGATAAAGAGAAGCCTTGTATTGATTTATATATTATCTATATTTTAGATTATACAACATCAAACTGTCAGATACGAACATATACCTTTATCACCTTTATCTAAACATAGACTTAGTAAGTTAGTTTCATAGCCTGTCAAATTCTATGTCTTAACTTATTGTTAATCATATGTATAAAAGAACAAATCTTGCTGTAACAAGATAATATAAGCTTGATATTTTCTATGTCAACAAAATGGTCCATAACTTAATTTTATCTGGTACTTTGTTGAGAAACTAAACAGTATCGCATAAGGAATTACGCTACAGGAGCCTCATTTCACCTCAACACTACAGGAGATAAGGAAAACGTAATTATAGGGGTATTGTGTGAAAGTTTGTCAGTAAGCTTCAATTTGCCCATATGTTTGTCAAATTCTTGATCCTGAATCTATATTACTTAATGAAACTTGCAGGAGTTCTTAACTGATTGCATACCGGTATCTAACAATTATTTACAGCAGAATGAGTTATCAAACCTAGACTAGTGGATATATTTTATTTTGTGTATTGGTACTAGTAGTACTAAAGTTTCAGTTAGAAGTACCTGATTAAATCTGTACTCATAAGCTTCTCTGAACATGTCATTTCAGCCTTTTTATAACAATATAAAAAATTGATTCCTTGTTTAAAGAGGGTTGTAAAAATTATAACAAGCATTTTATTTTCCAGGTATGTTAAAAAGAAAAACATTAGTTTTAGATTTAGATGAAACATTAATACATTCTCATCATGATGGTGTTTTAAGACAAACAGTTAAACCAGGTGTACCTCCAGATTTTGTTTTAAAGGTAATTTATATTTGATTTGTTTTCAGTATTTGAACCTATGTTCTGATGTGTTAAAGACTTGTATGTGTGTATGCATTTGAATACAGATTGAAATTGACGTACATAACTGTAAGGTATATATTTTATTTTAGGTTACAATAGATAGGCATCCAGTCAGATTTTTTGTTCATAAAAGACCTCATGTAGATTATTTTCTACAAATAGTAAGTACTTTTCTTCATTTTGAATTAATTTCACCAGTGGTGTAGAACCCTGTAGGGACCCTTTGTGAACTGAATCTGTTACTGAACAACATTGACAATCTTTTAACTATCCATGACTGTTTATTGATTATAGGTTAGTCAATGGTATGATTTAGTGGTATTTACTGCTAGTATGGAAATATATGGTGCAGCAGTAGCAGATAAACTTGATAATAATAGGGGTATTTTAAAAAGACGGTACTATAGGCAGGTATGTATTTAAATATAGATACCCTGTATGGTTATTTATCAGACTTACTTCCCTTCTTCAAGTAGACTTTAAGTATGAAACCCTCATAACTCTGGATCTCAACCTCTACCTGTAAAATACACCTATAGGGTAATAATCATCTAAATATTGCCTCTATTAGCTGGTAGAACTTAATTTTTGGTATCTATATCATTTTTTTTCTGCTACAATTTTCCGCAAATGTACCATTCAACTGTAGAATTTTGTCACTTCCATTTAGTTATTACTCGTACTATGACTTAAATGGTATTTTGACTTGTATTCTTAAAAGTGCTATTTAATAGCAGAAATTTAGCACTATAAGAAGGTACAAGAAAAAATCAGATTATTAACTCTTACATAGGATATTTCTCAGCAGTAATTTATCTATAATTTCAGCATTGTAATCTAATATTAGGAAGTTATACAAAAGATTTATCTGCTATAAATCCAGATCTCTCGAGTATCTTTATATTAGATAATTCACCTGTAGCTTATCGCTCATATCCTAGTAAGTATATATAATTAGTCTGTTTCCCTAATAATACTATTTGAGTGATTGATTAGTTATGAGTTTTGATTTACTTTGCATATTTTGAAATATTTACATCAGGTGTTAAAAGCAGAATTAAAACTGAGTTTTATAGTGAACAAAAACTCAGATATTTTCCTGATTGACAATGTTAAAAAATTAACAATGATTTTACCATCTCAACAATTTTTTTTTCAATCTGGCTATTAAATAAGAAAGAATTTTAATGCCATGTTGAAGCTAGAGTAAGAGTAAATCCCTAATATTTTTCAAGTGCCAAACAATGTCTGACAAATACATAACAATATCATATCCCAACTCCCATTACCTGGTTAATTTGTATTAAGACAGTTTCTTTTAAATTTAAAGTTTTTTAATTTATATTTCATGAATATTTTCGTATATTTCAGATAATGCTATACCAATAAAATCATGGTTTAGTGATGCAACAGATACAGCTTTACTCTGTCTCTTACCACTTTTAGATGCTTTAAGATTTTCTACAGATGTTCGTTCTGTATTAGGGCGGAATTTACATCTACATGTACCATGGTAGTTCATTCAGCATGTTATATATATATATATTTATATATACCATTGTATCATATTGTAAATATCACATGTCTCATATTTTCACCAGATCTTTGATATATTATATATTGTTGTTATCAATTTGTAGTTTATGTATTAGGTCTGAACCAGGTTTTCTCACTTTTAAAGGCTCAGTAATTTACCTAGATTTGCTACAATTTCCTTTCCTACTTTGCCATATTCTACAATATTTAAATTATGGTCATTTTGTGCCAAATATTCGTGTTCAAAATCTATAATGACCTCAGAGCTAGTCTAATTTATGTGAATTGAAGGGATAAAAAACGATTAGTTTTCATCAGCTGATGATAGAATGGATGTATCTTACTGAACATAAGAAATTAACAATATCAATTTTCATGATCCTTTTAAGATAATTATACAAATTAATTTTCTTTAAAAGACCAGATTACAGGGTTCTCCCTTTCTATGTTAATCTACCAGTCAGTTCTATCATAAGCTAATAAGAGAAATTTATCCCTTTAATTCAGTTTAAATCGTTGCAATAAGTCATAGACCAGTTGTTCTATTATTGCACTGCTGTCAGTAAGCAATAATATTATACACTCTGACTTCAATTTTGAATTTCAATGACAAAAAACATATATCAATTGTTTATTGGTGATTGAATATCAATTAACAACCTGGTTTTGATCTGATAAGTTATGAATATAATTGGTGTTGATTAGTTGTTAGTGTTTTTGGTATAATAACATATAACATAATTACATAATATTGATATCAATAGTATACATTGACTAACTGACTGAACATTAAATAGTGTACATTAAATATGATAATGGTTATGATGTAGTTGAAAGAATTTGGATTGGCTAAATTTGAAGCAAAATAATGTTGTTAAAGTTATGTTTCAGGCTGCTATTATAAAGCAATGGGTAAAGGGTTTTTCTCTCTCTCAAGTAAGTTACTTGGTTAGGATCAGTGCTCCTGTCATATCTTATATCTTGTAGAGAATCCACGGATTCACCCTGTTGAAGTATAGGGTGTCATGAAATTTACATAGCAATACTGTCACTTAATATTAGAAGATGTCTATCAGAGAACTGTTTATAATAGTTGGTAGTTGATTACAGCATAGGTAAAAGTATAAACAATGAATTAGTGAATTTGGTAAACATTGAGATAGAGTTTAGGCTACCTCATTTAATCAGGTTTATAATAATTTTTTCTGTGTCAATTTTTTTAATCTTTAGATATGAGGTATACTATTAATATTTTGTTTTACACATGTTGATTCTACTATGGCTTGTCTCTAACTGTTTCTTTACCCATGTCAATACATTTAACATGGATAAATGACAAGATATAATGTGTAAAACATGTTTTGAAAAATTTCTTGTATCGACAAACCATTCTGAAGTAAAGAAAGACATGAAAAAATTATAAGTTTATCTAGCTGAACTGATATATTTGTGCACATACGGAGATGATTCAAAACATGAAAACAAGGTATCCACTTTATTTTAAAGTAATTTTGTGATATGTTCTGATAATGATCTTTAATTTTGGATCTCTGTGATTTTTATTTAAACTTGACATGAAACCACAATATAAAACCTTTGAATGTACATATGAATTGGGTTGTAGATTACTTTAGTTAATTTAAAAGAAATCATGTAGTAAATTGATATGGAAGGACAAAAGTTCTGTCAGCTTAACCAATGTTTTATATTTCAATTGTTTGAAAATTTTTTTATGTTAAATTAGTTTGAAATTCTTTCCTTTTGCTCTTGATTGAATGCCCATGTGGGTAATTGTGAACATACTGCTGATGATTATGTTGATTTGTTATTTTGGAACATGTGGCAAAGTGGACATAAATGTAACTGGAATGATAACTAAAGAATATGTTAGGTTAATATATAGTTTGAATGAGGAATGAACCAATTAATGTACTTTATATTAAATAAAGATTTATTTCTGGTCTCCTGCTATTATATAATCTATAAACCCCATTAAACTTAAATTTAACTTTTGATATGGTGGTATGAAAAACAAAGTATTTTCATTTACAAAAATAACAAGAAAGTTAATGTTTCAAATATGTATCTATTGTAAGAGAACAACATTATTCTTCTAGTAATTGCCAAGCTTATATCTATTCTAAGATCAAATGCATTTCCATATGTAAAAATTTAGTCCATTTAATCTTAATTTTTTTAGCACCATATTCGTGTGGTTATATAATGTAACATTTTTATTTAAAAGTATGTTATCATAGATGATGGCTTGAATAGTTCGGTTGTAATATTTTGTCTTTTGGAAAAAGTGTAATTTATAGAATTGATAAAACTTTGGTGGCAACCATTTTCACAAATAGAATTTATCTTGGCTTTCCTGTTAGCTATTCACAAAGAACAACTTTAAATGCTATTGTAAGTTTTATTTATCTGTGTATATGTGTTAATAAGAAATTTATGTATAATAGTCTATCTGTTAAGAAGTGCTGGTCTAATAAGCTGAAAAAGAAATGTTATTTTATTTTTTAAAAGTTTATTTTTTCTTCTCATATGATAATGATCTATAAAATTTCTCTAGATCACATCTGTTGATTCTAAGTCATATTAGTTATATTAATCTTCCTACCAAGTTAGACAGAACCTGAAAATATCTAACTGTAGCTTGCTAAATATGATTCTCTATCAATAAATACAATATTGAACTGAACTGAACAATTCCATATTCTTAATTATGATATTTAGTATCACCTAGCCATTCAAGTTAATTTCTGCTAAAATAAGAAAATTGTTAGTGCAGGGAGATTTCATTGACGTCATAAGATTAGTTTTTTTTTTTTAATATAGTCAAGTGATATTTTATTTTGATAAAGAAATGTTTCATTGTTCATATAGATTGTTCAGAAAACAGGAAACAAAATATTTTTGTGAGATGAAAATTAAGTTTGAAATCATCATAAAGAATATTTGAAGTAATTTGAAATATTATTCCATTTTTTTCTTCTATTATGATGGACAAGTCATTTATGAAATAAAATTTCATCACTTTGAAACTAAACAAGTAATTAAAATGTTCCAAAGCACTCACAAAATTCCATTCCATCTCAAGAATGATAAATTTGCAATATCTAATGTTTAATTACTATCAACCAGGTTGGCCTTATGAATTATTGCAAATCTAGATTTTAATATAGCTCAACTTGACTTTCATAGGACTAATTAATAACTGCTTGATAGGGGACTTTGCTTGATATATTCTTATGAGTTTGCTGTTTCTATAATACTTATGTATTAGTATATGTTAATAGTTCATTTAGAAAAGTACTAAAATGAAATATCTAATATAGAAAACTATATTTTGTTTACTATTTGTATGTATATGTTGTTTGTTATAAAAAAACAATTAGTTGGTGTGATTGTCATTAGTCTACATTTTAATATTTATAATGTATGTCTGTGACTTGACTAAAATACACAATTTGAAATAATAAAAAATACAAAACTAAGTGTGTTTGTTTTGCAAATTTTTTTTTGTGGGACTTTGCTTTCAGCAAAGTCCCAGTTTGTTATCGAAATGTCAATTTTTTTTTTTTTTTTTTTTTTTTTTTTTTTCCGATTTTTACACACCTTCTTCAGCTTAGACTACAATAGTTGCAGCAACCATTCAACATTCACGAACCTTAGATATAGGCGACGATGTGCATAAATATATTTTGGATCTTTTTTGCAAAACCGGAAGTGCCACAGTTCAATATGTGCAAGAATAGATAATCGGCTCTAGAAGTCGTATTTTTCGGTCGATTTTCTTTGGATTTGCATTTTTGGAATCTACTGTTAAAATCTGACAGAATAGCAGTTTCAAAATTCGAAAATTTGTCGCAGACATTTTTTGGCCGATTTTCGAAATTTTTGGACCATTTTTCAGTTTTTTTTCGGATTAATCTGAAATTTTGATAAAAGATGCATGTCACTAATGCAAACAGTTTGACGTATTCAAAATTTTTGCGTCACTTCCGGTTAAAGTGGAAAATCGATTTTCACTTCCGGTTGAATAACTTCCGGTGTGATTGAAATATTTCAACGAAATTATGTATATCGTTATTAATCTTAATTCTATGGCCGATT